AGGTATTGGGAAGAACTGCTTCCCTTAAATCATGTTATTTACAGGTTATTTCTTGAAACAATGCTTGAATCTTTCTCTCCACAAACCCTGCAGTGCAAGGGACTCAGAGGGTTAAACATGCCACTTGCTGAGTACTTTCCTGAACATGCTTCTAAGCTTGTTATGTGCTGAATGTGGTTCACCAAATGCTTTTCTAAGCAAAACTACTCTGTACATATTGCCCCACAAACATTAAACCACACATAGTCCTCATTTTGTGGGTAAACCAACTCTAAGGGTCAGTTTACACTATTAAACCATAGGGCTGCTCAGTGATCAGTCTCTTCGGGAACTTTAGACCACTGCTTTGGTTTACAACAAGCACTGGTGCCAGTCTGCAGGACAGGAACAAGCCAGTGACCACTGTTCAAACTCCCTTGCAGAGTCCTGGCCAGCATGTGCCAGGGTCCTTGCCTCCTGTCCCACATGTGCTGCAGAAGAGACCTTCCCTGCCCCATCCCATGAGGAGAAATCCTTCCATCAGCCTCAATGTCAGGCAATGGGAAGATGTCCACAAGTCATTAGCATCCAAGAGGGCAAACTGCATCCTGGGGTGCATCACAGTATAACCAGCTGGTTGAAAGAGGTGGTTATCCCTCTGTATTCAGCATTGGTGCAGCCTCACATTGAATACTGCATGTAGTGCTGGGCCTCTCCAATTAAGAAGGATGTGAAGGTCCTTGAATGCATTCAGAGGAGAAATGTCCTAACACAGAGCAGCTAAGGACTTTGGGCTTGTTTAGTTTGGAAGAAAGGAGGCTGAGGGGCAATCTTACTGCTCTGCACAGTTTCGTGAGGAAGGGAATTGGAGAGGGAGGTGCTGATCTCTTCTTCCTGGTATGCAACGAGAGGAGTGGTTCAAAACTGCACCAAGGGAGTCTTAGACTGGGCTTTAGAAAGCATTTTTTTACCTGGAGGGTGGTCAAACACTGGAACACACTTTCTAGAGAGGTGGTTGATGGTCCAAGACTGTCAGTGTTTAAAAGGCTTTTAGACAATGCCCTTAACAACATGCTTTGACTCGGCAGCTGGACTAGATGATCATTGTAGGTCCCTTCCAAATTAAATAGTCTAGCCTATTCCATCAGTCAAAAGCTTTAAAAGGGACTGGTGTTCAAAATAGGCCTGGAAATTCAGAGTTCCCTTTCTGCACCCAAATGTAATTATGGCACAGTAGCTCTTCTGAGAAGAGAGAGCAGGTCAGAAACCACCTCTTGCAGAGGTACCTAATGCTAAATGGCAACAGTGACAAAGAACACAAAGCTATTGGAAGTCTTCCTTTTCCTCTGCCTTAAATCTGAACGTGAAATGAATGAGGTACTGGACTTGCTTCTGCGTAAACTGTTAGCAACCAAAGCTTAAAAAGAAAAAAACAGCCTACTCAAAAAAATACTGTATCAAACGTAACCAAATTATAAATGTGTGAAAAGGAAACAAAAATGTGCAGACTAGGGTGAACTCAGATGTTTGCTGTCTTTCAAGAAGAAAGAAAGTCAAAAACTGTGATTCATCTGGCAACCTATCTCCTTTCTCTGTTAAGCAGTATTAACAGACAAACTACCTCTACTAAACACTGGAAAAGTAAAGTTGTAGCATCATACAGTTTGCGGGTGGTTTGGCTTGTTTTTAAAGGAAGCAGCAGTTAAATACTACAGTTCATAAATATCCAACTGGTTCCCTGAAATGCTAAAGATACATAGATAAAGCATTCTGGTTTTTTCAGCATAAAGATGCTAGAATTGCCTGCTAAACAGGTATGTGCATACCATGTTCAGTGCATGGCATGTATCTGTTAAGGCCTCAGTAGAAAAACAATGGGGCATGGGAACAGCAAAGTTTGGAACTTAAGGGAGCCTTAAGATCAAGCTTTCCTTATTTGCTAAGCTTCTTCTTGCTAGAAGCACTGTCAACAATAGGAATGCATTTTCTTAGTGCACTCTTCTCCTAAATATCCACTGCTGCCTCTGTCAGACAGGGTGTCATATTAGACACACTATTTCTCTGGCCTAAAACAACTCTTATATTCTTTAGTTCATTATTTTCTCACAATGACATGCAATGAACTTCCATCCCCTCCATGAGGGCTGCTGTAAGTACACCTAACCATTTCTCACAGACACACACTGGGCCCTTACACAGGCCCCAGAAACAAGGCAAAGAAAACTGACCTTTTCCATAAGAAGAAATAGAGCCTTGAGCCATGTGGGCTCTGATGAAGGTTCTCCTGGTCACCACAGGGTGCATACCAGAAGGATGCAGTTCCTCAACCGTACGAGCAGCCCTGTGAGCTCAAAATGCATCTAAGGGTCTTTTGGACTGGAGGTCCAGTTATGAGTTGAAGACCAGCATAGCTAGTAGTTTGAGTAGGGGAAAACATACAGAAATACCTTAAGAAGTGTCAAAATGACTCAGCCAAAAGGCTGGAAGGAGACACACAGAGTGATCTGCGTGTAAGGTCCCAGCCAGGGTGAACAAGTCACGCTTGAACAACTGCTTTGTGGAGTGGGAGAATAACTACAAGTGAAAGAGCTGAAACACAAGAGGCAGATCTCCACCAAGTTGTAGCTGTTGGGGCTGCAGCTTGAGAATCAGCAGAGTAAGGATGTAAGGGAATAAATGCCTGAATTGCCTGGGCCTTATTTCACAACATGGTAGAAGATTTAACAAAAGGAGTTCCTTTTGCATTTATTCACATTTCATTAGTCCTGGAGCACTGATAGAAGAACCTCCCACGCTGCTGACCTAGCCTCAGGGGTCCCATAGGAGCATTCCCAGCTGATTTCTCTGTGGAAGTGGAGATATATGTCTCAATAAATACTAGATCCCTTCAAAACTAAACATACCAGGGCTCAGAGAGAGAAATCAGCTCACCTGCTCTCCCAGGCAGAAGATTAAGCTCCTCCAGCATTGAAAGGACCATTCTCCACTGGGACACCCTTGGCACTGGTGCACAGTCAAGGATTGCTGGCACCTCTCTCTAACTGTAGGGTCCTTCAGAGGACACTAACCAGCATTGACAAGGCCATCGGCTGAGGTCAGACCAGTGTACTGGGATCTCAGCCTTATCAGGACCCCACACGCAGCAGAATAGCTCCACTTCAGTTGTTTGTGAGCTTTGGTCCTCTCTGCTTCTCACCATCACAGCTGTTTGCTCTCCCTTTTCTCACCTGTCCTGGGCTGTCAGGATGGTGGGTGGTGAAGACAACAACCTCTGCTGGTGGAGGCAGGTTATGGAATAAGCTGTCTGAGCTGCAGGAGAAGCTGTTCCTTCTGGTGACCCACCGCAGGGACGCCAGAGGGCTGAAGCCGCGTTTCTCATTTCCCCTGTAGCCACAAGATGGAGCATCACCATAACAAACAGCTCTCTAGAGCCACCAGATTTAAGTGACGGGATATTTCATCACAGTTGTGGCACACCCTGAGGCGCAGGCAGCCCTGGAGGGATGCTGCAATAGCCCAAGGCAAGTACTTGGCCCATGGGGGGCAGGAGCAAGCTCCCATAGCCTCTTAGCCCATGTCCCAAGTGAGATGCAGGGAGAAGTTGGCATTCCTGGGTGCCACTCAGCGAGGCTTCACAGCAGGACCAAGGAGTTCAGACATGCTGTCAGCCCCCCATGGCAACCTTAATCAAGCACACTCTAGCAGTAAAAGCTTCTCCAACACCTTCCCAAGGCTCCATACATTGCTCTACTGTGGCCATTACACTGCTCACTGGGTTTAATTTTCTCCTCTCCATCAGCCCTCAGCATCACCCTTTTTCACCGTGTGAAAGGAGAGGAGTCTTCACACCTTGTCTCAAGTGCATTTGTACCCCCTGCATGCCTTTCTGGCCATTCCTCCACAGATCCCTCCTTAAAAAATATCCCGAGGAAGTCTGCTGGAATAAAAAAGTGGAACAACCACTGTTGGTGGCTGGACTATGATGTGCCAACCTGGCATTGCTGCTTCCTCATCCTCCCCTTTCCAAAGCACCTTTCTCCAGATGCCTATCCACATGGGGCTTTGTGCAGCAAGCAGGCCCAAGGAGGCATGCTTCTGGTGAGGTGGGCAGCACTTAGGTAGCATAAGAGTATGAGTATCAAAGAGAAAATGAGAAAGAAGAGAATGCTCCAAGTGTGTGAGGTGGAAACCTTGAATGAGGAAGACAGAACATCCACTCCAAGCACTGGTGGCAGTATCAGAAGTGTAATCTAGCTGAGGAATGCAATGAAGTATTGTTCACTCAGACTTTCTATCATGTTTTTTTTTCCTTTGGGGGTGTTTCTTCTGTTTTTACTTAAGTAGAGTCATTTTGAATGAAATACCATGGGGAAACCCCAAGTACTATTTTTTTCTCTTATCTCCTATCCCCCACTGCTTTCACAGATGCACAGTTTGAATCCAGCCAATATAATCCTCAGGTTTCCTATCTATGGGCTATGCAGAGGACCAAGCAAAACTACCCCTCTGGCACTGCTTTCCCCCTTTGGTAAGAGACTGCAAACCCATGTGCAAGGTGGAAAGAAAAAGAAAGAATAAAAAAAAAAAGAGAAATTAAATCTTTTTTCTCCCTTCCTACCTAATCAAAATCAGCCCCTGACACAATTCATGGGCAAATGCCCTGTTCCCTAGGGGTATAAACACATTTTAGAGTAAACCCTGTCTTTTCTTTAAAATACCAACTGGAAATGAACATATCAGATCACCATTGAAAATCAATGACCTCTTTTACCCTTTTGGTATCATGAAAAGTAATGGAAACAATGACACCAATATCTTAGGATTTAGCTTAAAGCACATTTTAACAGCTTATACTACTCACAGATGTTACCGACAATCAATAAAACCATGTCTTGTAGAGGAAAAAAGACAAAGGTCTGTAAGGCCAGAATTTCCTTCTCTGTCACTGGATACTGTTTTGAATGGGTGACTCAGAGACACTAGTCCCACAAAGCATTTACATCCTTAAATGGGCTCTGCATGACATAATATGTACATATTGCGTGTATGCAGACCCAGCGTGGGGAGACAGCTGCCGTAATGGAAATACGTGATGAAACCAAAATCAGCAGCACTTTATGCTTCCTGGCATCCTGACAAGCCATTTGCATGCAGCTCACTCCACTGCCTCCAAAAAACAACACAAGGCTCAAGGATTCTACAAGCTGAGAAGGAAGAAAAGTCACCAAGCAGAGCTAAACACAACCCAAAGGTAAGATGGTGAGAGAGAATATTCTACTGTAGTAAAACCTTAACAGCTTTTCTCTTGCTACAAGAGCTGAAAATTAAATATATTTGTTATAACTTGTTCTGTTTATAGCATATCTACTATTCATTCTTAAGAATGAACAGAGCTACCCTTTTTGTTCATGCTTTAAAAGTTTTCTGCTTTGCTTACAGATCTACACAACAGACTCTGGTCTAAAATCCCTTTTTATCATAAGTAGATTTTTCTCAGGTAAAAATCTTGCTGTGAAGTTGAAATCCTATTTCTCTGTAATGGGTTCCCTCTCAGTATTAGACTCAAAGTGTTTCATTTGATGCAGGGGACTCAGCAGAGCAGCGTATTGGGCAGTGTCTCTGCCCAGGTCACCAGTGGAACCCCTCATCTGCCGTGGGACACAACCCAGCTCACAACAAACTCCCCAGCCCCGTGGCTGCAGGAGGGTTGAACTCCCAGGCAGTGAACGACCTGCAGCATAACAAGGTACTTCTCCCCTCCAGCCTCTCAGATCCCCAAGTGCTTCACAAACTCATGCTTTGCTTTTCTATTTGGTGAGGGGAAATGCATTCTTTCCCCTCCAACCAGCCTCAGTCGCCCCCAGATGGCAGCAGAGCAGGTACTGCTGTCAGAGTTGCTGCTGCACTGAGCCATGTCCCCCCATGCCTTATAGGCAGTGGTGCTCTGCTGGAGGAGGCTTTACACAGCCAGCAGCATTGCCAGCTGCAGGGACCTGAATAAAACCTGTACCTGCTACAGCAGTGGATGGAGCCCTGCATCTGACCCCACTAGAGGGATGCTTTCCTGCACCCATAGCCCTGCCAGCACCCCATTCTCCTCATCAGGCTGGGTTTCTACCCTTGGTTTTCTCACTTCTGCAATGTAAACAAGTATCTTACAGAATCGTTTACCTGGCACCAGTGTGTCCTCAAGAAGCAAACAGCCAACCTGCTCTGTCTTCCTAACAGTAACTGCTAGGTTTTAAGAAATAATTATATTTCTTTTTTTGCTGATGCTAATCCCCCTCAAATCACTGTGCAGGAGAGCTTACCTCGGAAATACTCAGGGAGCAACTTGATCTGCAGAACAGGAACTTTGATTGCACATTTGAAAACAGGTTCACAAGTCTGAAATGAAACAGCACCAAGATCATTAACTCATATAGGAAAGTCACTAGGTGGAAGTAATAACAATTAGAGAGCAGCAGATCAAATGTAATTCCTGCGTGCTGACAGAAAGATCTCTGAAAGGCTTTATTTACAGGTTACATTTGCTGTGACGGAAGTGGCTGGAAGAAAGGACCAGCTAGTCCTGTGCATTTGCATTTTAAGTGATTCCGGCTGATTCCAGCATTGCAGAAACCAATGAGAGCCTTCCCGGTCCTTATCATGAGAGTTTCAAGGCAGAATCAAACCGGCACCCTTCCTCTAAAGAAGATTACTCCATGACCCCTCCTCATAGGGTGCCTACCTCAACATTTTTAGTTCCCTCTTTGCGGAGGAGAAACGAGCTGTCTTCTGCAAATCCTGTGTCTGCAGACACAACTTCATCTGCTGTGGTAAGTCTGGCTGCTTTAGACAAAACCTTGGGTTCTTAAATCTCATTCTGCTTGTAAAGATTTGACCCCTTCTAAAAATAGCCTGCTTGAAACTTCCTGCCTGCTGCTTTTAGCAAGTTTGTCAGAAGGGACAGAGGTAATCACAGCCAGTGGTGGTTCGAGAGGGTGCAGAATGCCCATGACCATTTGGGATCTTCACATTAATAAATATGCAGGACCCTTCATGCTTTTGATTCCCCAAAATCTATTATAATAGCTTGATTCAGGAAACCCAATCCAACTAATTGCTTCTATCCCCATAATCCAAGTAACCCTAAAATCAGGGGCTGCTTCCCCAGCTTTGCAAAGAGATTGCAACACTCCAAGGGGATGCTGCAGTCAAACCTATATTCTGCCTAGCCTAAATTATAGGGCAGCACAGTTTGGGGTAACAGTGCCAGTGACCTCAGAAATCCTTGCTTCTCCTTGAGGCACAATCTTGCCCCAAGATCCCTTGGCAATGATAAGCTCTGTGTTACTGGCAGCTGCAATTCAGCACACAGCAGTCCAAGAGGAAAAAACATCTCTATGGACACAAAGACCTCATTTGCCTTTGTACCGTGTCTTAAATGTGATTTTTATCCTTCTTTGTGGTGAAGGTGATTTTCTTCTCTTCCAGCTGGAGAATACCTCTTCATACCTGGAGATATGAATGAGACCCGTGCCAACAGCAACATCAGCAGTATCAGTGCTACTGTGGAACTGTTCCAGCTCATCATGTACACCCCCATATTCACCCTGGGATTGCTGTTCAATGTGATGGCTCTGTCGTTCCTGCTTTTTAAGGTTAAAAAGCTGTCAGAGTCTACAGTCTACATGGTAGCCCTTATTTTCCTGGATACTTTGCTGCTGTTTACTCTTCCTTTTAAAATTATTTCCTACCACCTTCAGGACCGGTGGAACTTGGGATCTGTGTTTTGCTCCACCTTGGAGAGTCTTTACTTTGTAAACATGTATGGCAGCATCCTCATTTCCCTCTGCATCTGTGTAGACCGGTACATTGCCATCCGGCACCCTTTCACAGCTTCCACCCTGCGATCCATCAAGAAAGCTGCTGTGGTCTGTGCTATCATCTGCCTGGGCACCTCAGCTGGGACAGTCTCTACTTTCCAGCTGCATGGAAAGGGCCACAACATCTCATCCTGCTTCCATAACTTCTCCAAGAGCACATGGGAAAATGCAGGTCTGTTCAGCGCCTTGGAGGCCACCTTCTTCGGCAGCATGGCAACCATGACCTTCTGCACTGCTCAGACCGTCAGGTGCCTGAGAAAGCACAGAAAACCAGATAACCCCCAAACACACACCACGAGGGCAGAGACGATAGTGGTGACAAACCTTGTGGCATTTCTGGTCTGCTTCACACCTTACCACGTGGCATACTTCCTGTACTTCTTGGTGAAGAATAACATCATTCACACCAGGTTTCAGCAGGTGCTACGAGACATCCTTCAGGTCACCCTTTGCTGGGCAAACCTGAATTGCTGTCTTGATGGGACATGTTATTATTTTGTTTTAAAGGAGTCAATGGAAGACCCATTGCAAAACACTGTATACAGAGTCACGTGAAAGCCGCGATCCATATGCTGCATGTTAGTTACTTGCAATCATTTGTCTGAGGTTTTCATGGGAAGTTCAGGGTCCTGAACTGCTTATGTAAGCAATTTATTTTAAATATTAAAATCTGAAAATAGTCCATAAGAAACAGAACTAAGTCCGTTCCCAGGGGATTGCTCTTAACTTGTTTTTGTTTCCTTCCATAATGTTTTGTGTTAGCATTTACGGGTAAAAAGAAATGGAATTACTGCTACAAATGATGATGCGTGTCTTTTTAGATGTGATTCCTCTTTACTTTGTATAAAACCAAAACAAATATTCACTTACACGGGGTAGGATCTTTCAGCCTCCCTGTCTACACTGCACCTGCAAACCTTCTTCAGGACTTCAGCCACTACAGACTTGGGCTGCTGAGAAACAGCGACTTGGAGGTAAAAAGCTTCAAAACTAAATTCTGTTGTCCCCCTGCCCTGATCATTTATGCTCATTCTCACACCTCAGGTTTAGATTTGCACATGTGATTTGGAGAAATAAAATGATTGTAACTTTAAATCCAAAGGCAGCTTTAGGTTATGTGGGCACAGCAAGATCTCCATGACATTCCTCCACTTACTCTGCAAGGTGCAGCGCTTGTTTTAGTGACAGGTCATGCGCACATTGCACTTCTAACTAATGCTGCCACTAGCTCAAGTCCTTGGATAGCTCAGATTAACTATCCCGGTTCCAGGCTTCCTCACCAGCTCCTCTCCTACTCACAGGTTTTTCACGTATCTGTTCCTTCCTTCTTGGTTACAAACTTAGTTTCATAAACAGAGCCAAAGCAAACAAGAACATGAAATGAAAAGCCCAATGTAGTAGCAAATACGTGATTCTGAAGGAACAACCCCCACCTTACTGATGATTAAGAAGAGCCCTGATCCCTAAAGCAGCAGCCAGCAACACAGGATCCCAGGGTGAAAGCAACCTTTCAAACCTTGGAGCAAGCTGAGCACTAGCACTTCCCAAATAAACAAGGCAATAAAAATTAATCCACCAGCAGGAGCCTAACGTGCCAGTCAGTTACTTCTTAACAGTGCTTATAGGCGTCTAGATAAACTGAATGACAACATGCATCCAGCCTGGAGAAAGGCAGCTCGCTGCTCAGGGTCACCCCAATTGCTGCCTTTTTCCTGAGTGATGAGTATGACGACAACTGAAGCAGTTAGATTTCATAGTCATGTTGAGCTGGATCCCTGCAATGCCTCTCGTAGGCAGGGAAACTAATCCCAGCCTTTGAACTGTCTTACCTCTGTACGCTTTGGAGAAGGGTAACACACAAACTGTGCACTGATTTCTTCCCCAAGCAGGTGACTGCATTTGGAGACTCCAGCTCTTCAAAGTGAAATTTTCTAAGTTGTTACTTCTATGCATGAGATTGTACCAAACAAGTCCAGCTGCTGAGGAGGCAAACACTAACCAAACATAGATATAAGTGTGTGCTGCTGTTTACAGAGCTGTTTTAGTGTTCAGACAATGAACCTTGCTTCTGAGGTTATAAGGCCTGTGCATTTCAACTAATGTTCCACTCATATTCAAGTGCATGAAAATAAAACCCACCAGGGTATTCCAGCAAGAATTCTCTCTCCATATCAATTGCCATTTCCATTTGCTCCCTCAGAATATCTAACTTCTCTGCTCACAGATACTGAATCCTCATCACACCCTTGCTTATAACTTATCTCTTAACTAACTACATTCTATCAATAAACACCAGGGTTTTACCACTGAGACTTCAGGTCCTTTTGGAAGCAGAGTTAACAAAAAAATACAAGAAATGCAGAAGATTTCTTTTACTTCTCAAATCAGGGGGCAATGCCAAGAGGTTCTCCACTTATATGATAATGCCTGAACATAAGTAACAGGGATTTTGTCACTACCTCTAGAGGCAGAAAATGCCAAAGTACGAGAGAAAACTGATCTCAGTTGCTACTCTACAGTCTGTGGTATGTCCATTAGTTTTACCAGTGTGTCTTTGGGCTTACACTGCTATAATTGAGACTAGAAGCTCGCCTAAAGTTTTGGTTTTCCTCTGTTGCTCAGCTTTCTTTCACTCCTATTTTTAAGGATGTATGTTCTTTCTTACTTGTTTCCCTGCTGTCCTTGATTCCAGGATCATACAGTAACTTGCACTGTCATTTCATTTAGAGTTCTGAATTTAGGAATTCAGGGGTTCTTGGCTACCTACTTCAGCAATAACAGGTATGCTGATCAACTTAAACATAGCTGTATTTGTATAAGGGACAAGTTAAAGTCATTTCTTTTTCTCTCAAACTTCCCCCCTATGTTTTTCTAGTGTTTCAGGCCATTGATTTTTCTAGAAGCAAACAGGCTGGGATGTGGAAAGGCTGTACCCTGCCTGTAAAAAGGGTACAGCCAGACACCATCTGAGCTCCCTGCCTCTACACACGACTCACAGTACCTCTGCCAGCTATAACTAAGCACTAATGGTCAAAGGCAACATTTTCTACTCATGTTCTCTGCTGTATCTTACTGCTTCACAGCCTCTGAAAATTCACTTTCCAGGCCAAATCTGGTGTGGTCCAATCCCTGCTTTGCTCAGGTGGGTAGCTATAACAGCTCTTTCTTTTGTAGGGCTTTATATCCAGATCATGATACTCGGTATCTAGTGAGACCACAGCCATTTCTGTTTTCACCAAAAGAATATTAAAGACAGAGTGCTAAGAAAGAAAAGGAGAAAAATAAATTTGAAAATCTACAATCTAAAGTCATCACAGGCTTTCTGTATTACAGGTCCGGATCAATAAAGAAAGCAAAACCAAGGATTTGTTTAGAAATCATTCACCCCTAAGAACTGAGAACTCATTCCTAACACATTCTGTTCTCCACTAAAAATCACTAGTTTACTGTGTAAGAATGAGAATGGGGGTTAGAGAGCTGTTATGGAGCACTTTTTCCACATATATGTGTTTTTGCATTTGGATTGTGAAAGGGAAAGAGTTTAAACCAACACTGAAAGCCTAGCTGTGAAACTTAAACTTAGGTCTCCACTAACTGTGTATATCTGTCCTTTGCTTTCCACATTTCTGTTCTTCTGGTACAGCTATTATCTTGTGTTTCAGGCTCAAGAAGTATCTGTTTGGATTGGGAAGGGACAAGGTTTAAGAGAAAACATCACTGATGATATTGGCATATAAGCACAGAAATCCCAATCAAAAAAAAGAAAGAATCGGCACAGGCACCAGGAATGCAGTACTTCCTACAGATTTCACTGTTGCCTTTAATGTTTTATGAGAGATATTCACATACAATGAATGGAACAAAATATTTACCATGAGCAATGCCACATAGTAAATATGATTGTCAGTGATAATGAGAAAAACCTCAGAAAAGCAAGTCTCAAGGTAAAAGTAAAGGCTTTTACAGAAATCCTCATATGCATATACTCCTCTCAAAGCGTTTTCAGCATTTCTATTGCCACTAGAGAGGATTAGAACTGTCCTTTGTTTTCTCTGCAGAAAGACAGTGCCATGAGCTAAAGATGAATTTATAGCACTCCAGATGCTAGGAAGAAGCCTTCTGAGAAAACTTGCACAGACAAGAAGTGTGAAATAGTTAATTTTGGTGTGACAGTGGAGTACTACAGACAGGCACATACAGAAAACACACCCCAGCTCTCTTCACAGTTATTTCCCCACAGAGCAAAGCTGTTTGTATGCTCTTTTCATCTGTTACATTTCCTAGCGGTATGAGATCAAAGTCTTATAAACAAGTAAAAATGTTCTAAGTGACACAATAAGGTGATGGAGCATTTCCATTGCTGACCTGGGTGTGACAGAGACACATAGAGCCCTGAATGTGCCCAGTTCTGGTGGGAGGATACTCTGACTCACAGGCTCAACCTGTGCATTTTGCTCCTAGATTTGCAACAGGCCATGTAAAGCTACAATGCAATCAAGTGCCCCCGGTCACCTTACTCAGCCCTGTCTTCACAGAATAGCTAGGGTTGGAAAGGACCTTAAGACCATCTAGTTCCACCCCCCCTGCCATCCTCCCTTCCCCTTTCACATGCCTCTATCTTCAGCTTTCTGAAGGCACTGAAATCTCTAGAAAAGCAATCTCTTCTTACTGAGAAACTTCTACCATAGCAACCAATTCCGATGAAACACTGTCTTTAGCTACCAAGAAAGGGAAAGGACACCTATAACCCCCTTCATTTTATCTCTATTCTTCTCGTTTTGATTTTTATACACTCTTACTCCATGAGAATGACATTTACAACATCATCTAATGTGATATAAAAGATTGCTGCTAGATACTGATACAACCAAAAACCGATGAGGAATCAGAAGTATTTCCCAGGAAAGTAAGCTGAATCAGTGCCATTTACAGACACCAAAGGATGTAGAAACTCACGTCTGCTGTGTGTTACTGATTCCTACTAATCCTTATCTCTATTCCAAGACAAGTATTAAACTGAGATCACAGTTGAGAGCAAGTATCAGCAGTTTAGAGTTATAAACACTGTGAGGCAATTGTTGATCTAATACTAAGCATTACAAACCCAGGAAATCCAGTTTAGATTACACTCTAGCACACCAGCACAATCCCAACCATTCCCTGTAAAGTACTAACCTTGTGACTACAAGTAAGGCCACCTCCCAGAGACTAGCATTTAACCTGCTCCCACCTGGCCAGCCATAGGATCTGAGACAATGGACGCTGTCTGCAGAGACAGACAGTATTTGTAACCTACTGTGTGCTATAATGGGAAGACAAAATACAACCCTGTACACAGTAGTAAGTATTACTGAGACCTTTAATGGTCCTTTCCTTTTACAACACAGAGGTAAGAATTGTATGTTCCCTCATTTTGTAACAAACGGGCAGGAATTAAGCAGTACCACTGAGTCTTATCCTAGATTTAATTTCTGGACATAATCATACTGTTCACATGGTTATTATACTTGATTCTGTTGAAGTTGTGGGTTATTGCTCTCTCAAGTTAGCCTGTGTCACTTGCCTTGGGATGCCTACATACACCACATACACTTATCACAGAACATCTTTAGAAGACATGCCAAATCTCTCACCCACTTTTGGGCAATCAAAGAACTCACCCTGCGGGTAGACGTACCCAGTCTAACTTTTAGTCTATCAGGTTGGTGCCTAACTTGCACAACACAGCAGCCAGACTCCCATACTGAAAACTATTTTGTTTACATCAGATAAAAGGCTTGTATTTCCAGAACTCCACTTATTTTCAACATCATTCTGAGC